GGAAGCTGTTAGTCTCAGTTACTTGATGAGCCTTGGGTTGTAGCCCTCAGCTGAAGGGTAAGTGGATTTCCAGAGGGTGGGGCAGATGCCTGCTGGCTGTTAATGAGCCTCAACTTGCATGTCTCTGGCCTTGGTGGTGTTAAATTCCTGAGGGAGGGGCTGTTGCTTCTCCTTGGGGCTCTGGGGCTCTTTGAGTAAGATAGCTACTGTCCTATGAGGGAGTTTTTCAGCACGAAACTTCCAGTGCCCTCCAAATCCCAAGTCTGTCCACAGTTCCAGTCCAGTCTGCCTGCCCTCTACCGGTGCCCAAGATGAGTGGCTATAGCTAATTTAATGCTCTGTCCTGGCCCTCTGCACTGTGGAGCCTGCTTGGGATGTTAACCCTGAGGGAGCTGCTCACAGTAAAACAGCTAGTGTCTGTGGGCTCACAGCCCGCCCTCCTGCACCTCAAAGTGCCTACCAGGCTCAATTTAGTGTCCTTTTCCTGTCCCTGGTTATATATGTCCTCTCTAGCTGCTTTTCTGTTGGTTTCTCCCAGCAATTTGTCTTTATTTTAGTTATAATTCCAGTTTGGTCCTGGGAGATGGGCTGTGTAGCTTCCATTCATTCTGTCGCCATGTTGGAATCTCTCACATCTAAATCTGCTTGATATATTGGTGGAGGGTAGCAAATTGGTGATCATCAGAGGGGAACAGATCTTAGAAGAGCAGTGATGAAAATATTTTTTATCTCATCCAGATAAATGTATAAACCCCCTTCTGAGTTGAATCTGCTATCTACTGGAAATTTTCACTTGGATGTGTTGCAGCATTTCAGCCTCAAAATACCTAAAAATGTATTGTCCTTGTCACTCCTAAACCTGCGTTTCTGACAGTGTTCTGCCCCATCCAGAAACCTTAAAGCCTTTGCCCTCCCACATCCAATATATTGAATCCTTTCCATTCTACCTCCTAGATATCTTTCAATCCATCCCAGCTCTAGTCTAAACCATTATTATTTGCCTGGCTGGTGTGTCTCAGTGGTTGATTGTCAACCCGTGGACCAAGAGGTCGCCTGCTCGATTCCCGTTCAGAACACATGTCCAGATTGTGGGCCAAGTCATGCAGGAGGTGATCAGTCAGTGTTCTCTCTCATTGATGTTTCTATTTCTCTCCCCCTCTCCCTTCCTCTCTCTTTAAAACTCAATTTAAATAAAAATCATTATTCCTTGCCTGGCTAGTTTCTTAAAGGATCTCTGTACCTCTACTGTTCCCTTCCCTCATCCCACTCCCCTCCCCCAAAGTTTATTCTTACACTGTTGTTAAAGGGAACTTGTACAAATAGAGATCTAATGATGTTCCCGGCTTAAAATCGTTCAGTGGACATCATTGTTCTTAGGATAAAATCCAAAATTCTTTTTTATTTATTTATTGATTGATTGATTCTAAAGAGAGAGAGAATGGGGGACTTCCGGTCAAGATGGCGGTATAGGTAAACACGCGGTATCGCGTCCTCCCACGACCACATCAAAGTTACAACTAAACTACAGAACAACCATCATTCAAAACCGCCTGAAATCAAGCGGAATGGAAGTCCTACAACTACGGAATTTTAAAAAAGCAGCTACATCCAGACTGGTAGGAGGGGCGGCGGCGCGAGGGGCGGAGGCGTGTAGGGCTGGTCCCACACCCACGTGTGGCAGATAAAAATCAGGAGGCTCCCGAGGCTGGGAAGGTCCTTCCTGAGGACTGAGGGGGTCCCCGTCCCACACCAGGTGCCCCGCTCAGGGTTCCAGTGACAGGAAGAGAAGTCCCCATAACTTCTGGCTGGAAAAATCAGCGGAAACTGAGGCTCAGGGAAGCTGAGGTGGCTGGAGCCCCAGGCAGCTCCCTAAGGGGTCCGCGCACGGACTTATCGGATTCTCCCCCTCTAAACTCGGAGGGGAGGCAGCTCGAGGGGCGCCAGAGACATACAAGGAAGAACTGAGCTGTTTGGCACTGGAGCGAGGGCTGGAGAGGGGGCTTTCTCCGGGACAGATGTACTGTCAGAGGCCTTTGTTCCTTTGGTGAGCCCTTCCCAGGGGCGGCAGACAGAAGCCATATCTGGGGCTCCAGCAACCTGGCTCACACTGGTAGCCCCGCCCTGCTGACTCCCTGAGTCCCCGCCCCGCCTCACGCAATTTTCAAGTCCACCTAAGCTGTTGCCACTTGCTTAACCATAGGATTGGCCTGTCCTGGATCCTGCTTCAGGTTTTTCCTAAATTCTTTCAAACGAGCAGCATCTGGTCTCAGCTAGCCCCATACCTCTCATTAAGTAATACACAGAAACAAACACAGGGAGGCAGCCAAAATGAGGATACAAAGAAACAGGTCCCAAATGAAAGAACAGAACAAAAACCCAATAAAAGAACTAAGCAAAAGGGAAATAAGCAACCTAACAGATACTGAGTTCAAAATACTGCTTATAAGGATGCTCAATGAACTTAGGGAGGGCCTCAAGAGCATAAAAAAGGACCAGTTAGAAATCATGGATACACAGTTAGAATTGAAGGAGGCATTAACTGAAATAAAGAATAATTTACACAGCTTCAATAATAGAGTATGTAAATCCAAGGAGCAAACCATCGATTTGGAATATAAGGAAGCAAAAAACGCCCAATCAGAACAGCAAAAAGAAAAAAGAATCCAAAAAAATTAGGATAGTGTAAGGAGCCTCTGGGACAACTTCAAGCGTGCCAACATTCGCATCTTGGGGGTGCCGGAAGGAGAAGAGAGAGAACAAGAAATCGAAAACCTGTTTGAAACAATAATGGCAGAAAACTTTCCTAACTTGGTGAAGGAAACAGACATACAAGTCCAGGAAGCACAGAGAGTCCCAAACAAGATGAACCCCAAGAGGCCCACACCAAGACACATCATCATCAAAATGCAAAAGGTTCAAGACAAAGAGAGAATCTTAAAAGCAGCAAGAGAAAGGCAGCTAGTTACCTACGAGGGAGTTCCCATCAGGCTGTCAGCTGATTTCTCAAAAGAAACTTTGCAGGCCAGAAGGGAGTGGCAAGAAATATTCAGAGTGATGAAAACCAAGAACCTACAACCAAAATTACTCTATCCTGCAAAGCTGTCATTTAGAATCGATGGACATACAAAAACCTTCCCAGACAAGAAAAAGTTAAAGGAGTTCATCACTACCAAACCGTTATTATATGAAATGATGAAGGGTCTTTTTGAAGAAAAAGATAAAATGTATGAACAAACAAAATGGCAATGAATACATATCTATCAACAATGGAATCTACAAACAAAATGAACAGGAAGAACAGAAACATTCTCATAGATACAGAGAACATTTTGTTGGTTGCCAGATGGGAAGGGGGTTGGGGGAATGGGTGAAAAAGGTGAAGGGATTAAGAAGCACAAAATCGCCCTGGCCAGTTTGGCTCAGCGGTTAGAGCGTCGGCCTGCGGTCCGGAGAGACCCGGGTTCGGTTCCCGCTAAGGGTACGTACTTCGGTTGCAGTTTGTCCCCAGCCCTGGTTGGTCGTGCGGGTGGCAGCCACTCGATGTGTCCCTTCACGTCGATGTTTCTCTCTCTCTCTCACTTCCTCTCTCTCCCTCCCACTCTATCTGTACAAAAAATGGAAAAATATCCTCGGGTGAGGATAAAAAAAAAAGAAGCACAAATTCATTGCTAGACTGACAAACCTCAAATGGAAAGGGGTTGGGGGGGTGGGAAGAAATAAACCAAAGAACTTATATGCATAACCAATGGACACAGACAATAGTGTGGGAAAAGGTGGGAGGGGAGCAGGAGTGGGGAGGGGAGCAGGAGTGGGGAGGAGGGGGTCAATGGGGGAAAAATGTGGAACATCTGTAATACATTTTACATCCAACAATAAAGATTTGAAAAAATAAATAAATAAAATAAATAGAGAATGATTTGTTGTTCCTTTTGTTTATGCATTCATTGGTTGATTCTTATATGTGCCCTGGTCGGGGATTGAACCCACAACCTTGGTGTATTGGGACGATGCTCTACCAACAGAGCTACCTGGCCAGGGCCAAAATCGAAAATTCTTAACATGGTTTAAAAAATCTTTCACCATCTAATCTCTGTTTCTCTGTTGACCTCTTCAACTCATTTACCTTTTTTTTTTTTACTCGATCCTTTAGCCATACTGAACTTTTAGCTTCTCAAAGATGCAAAACTCTCTTGCTTTCAAGGCTTTGCACATTGTTCCCTCTTGTTGGTTGCTATCTTCTCTCTCTTCTAGACGTGTCCTAATCCTTTAGTGCTCACCTTCATATCCCAAGACCAGGTAAGATTTCTTTGCTATATAAGGTTTTATAGCAGCCTGAACTTGTCTTAATAGTTGTTATGCTTATAATTAATAACTGTGTCAGATTGGCAGCTATGTGTGATTACCATGCTGGTCTTACCACCATTGTTCCAAGCCCCCTATCGTAGTTAACCTGTACATAATGGCTTTTCGATAAATTGTTGTTGAAGTCTAAAGCAGAAGCAACATCAGTCAATAACATTTTTTGAGCACCTGCTATGTGTCAGTCATTGTCTGGCTCTGGGGATACAAGAATGAACAAAGGAAACAAGATTCCTGCTTTCATGAAGATTGTAATCTTGTGGGAGGCATGCCCACCCCAGACTAATGTACTGAAATTAAAAAGGCAAGTAACTACTATTGGCAACTCACTATAGCCACATAGTTAGAATGAGGGAAGAGGCACATTCTCCCAAAACACAGGGCATTCTGTTCTCGGAGGAAAGAGTTTACCAGACAGATAGAACAATAATTTCTATCAGAAGGTACATAAGAAACGTAGCTACCCAATTAATAAAAACAAACCCAACCAAACGAAAATCTTTAAAACTTAAAACCACAAAACAGACTTAAAGACTAAAAGACAAACCAGAGCCTGGCAAAGTGACTGGCACATTCTACTTGTAATAATTATTAAGTAACAATACTTGGTTTTGTTCTTTTTTTCAATTGGTTTTATGCAGCTAAAGGGAAACATTGAGCAATTCTTCACCAAATTTGTGGATGAGGGGAAAGCCACTGTTCGGTTAAAGGAGCCTCCTGTGGATATCTGTCTAAGTAAGGTATGATATTAAAAACATTAATGATGCCCGTGCTTGTGTGGCCCTTGCTTGTCAGCCCAGGCACCAAAGGGTTTCAGGTTTGATTTCCAGTCAAGGGCACATATCTGGGTTGCAGATTCGATCTCTGGCCCTGGTTGATGCAACCAATCGACGTGTCTCTCTCTCTCTTCCTCCCTCCCTCCTTCCCTTCCACTTTTTTTTTTTATCCTCACCCGAGGACATTTTTGCATTTATCGTCAGAGCAGGAGGGAGAGAGGGAGGAAGAGAGAAACATTGATGTGAGAGTGACACATAGAGTGGCTGCCACCCACATGACCCCGACTGGTGCTGGGGCCAAACTGCAACCGAGGTACATACCCTTAGCAGGAACCAAACCCGGGACTCTCTGGTTCACGGGCCAGTGCTCTAACCACTGAGCAAACCAGTCAGGGCATTCCCTTCCACTCTTAAGAATCAAGGAAGAATATCTTAGGGTGAGGATTAACAACAACAAAAACATTAATGATTAAGTTAGTTGGCTGTTATTTTTTTTTTAATAAGAGGCTATTTGAGCATTCTGATATATCACATAGCTGAATAGAGACAGACTCTTGGAAATGTGTTTAAAGAAGTGATGGAAGCTTCCCAGGAATGTTTGTATAGCTCTAAAAGGCAGAGTCGGCCTTGGTAAGGCTGCCCAGGATGGTAAGGAACACTAGGTTTGCTTCTGTGCCCAAAATGGAGCCTTAAGGTTTTCTTACACTGTAACTCTAAGGCAGTTGGCACAGATCTACGTTTTTCCAGCTGAATTATAGGTTACAAATCTAAGTTTAATATAAAAAAGAGGATAAAATGCAATTAGAACCTTGTTGGGAGGTAACTTTATTTACTATAATAATTTTTAAAAATACATAAGTCATTACAATTTTTTAAAAAACTGTTTCTTTGTCCTATCTCCCCTTTTTGTTTTCCCCCTTTCTAGAATGTAGGAGCAGTATCTTGTTCAACCTTGCATTATCCTTAACCCCAAGCAAAGTACTTTGCAAACCTTTAAAGTTTAATAACTTTTTAAGGTTATTTGTGTTGAATGGAAAACATTTTGTCCTGTGTCCTCCTGTTCTTGCGATTTTTCATTTTCTCTTGATGTTCAGCTGTCTTTCCACTAACTCCTTTCTTCTACCTAAAAACAAACTGAGGTCTTACCAATTAAAAAAAATAGGATAAACAAATTTCTGGAGAGATGAGGCTAAATCTGTTGCCTCCACTTTCTTACGATCTGGTTTGACTTTTACTTCCACTGGTGTGTTCAAAACACTGCCTCAGAGGTCAGTGGTTTCCTTTCTAATTGCTAATCACATTGCCATTTTTTTTCTCATCTTTTTTGGGCTTTGTAAAATTTGACATTGATGACCGATCCCTTCTTTAAAAAAAAAAAGGAACCCTTCACAGACCTGTGCATCATCCTTGTGCAGGGACCATGTTAATCTTCTCTGTATTGTTCAAACTCTGGTATATGTGCTGCCGAAGCGAGCACGACCAGTATCTTAATAAAACTTTCTTAGCATCTGTGACAGGGCACTGTCCTGATTTACCTTTGGTTTTTGCAGCCACTCCTTTGTCTCCTATCTGGTGACTTTTTTTTCTATCTCCCCGATACAGGCTTTATTCCAGTTTTCTGCCATACTTGCCTTCCATTCGCATAGCTCCACCCATATTGTATAACTCCCAAGTCTGTAAGTTGGTACCCTCTACTGGACCTACTTGACCCAGGTCTCCAGATTTTCCTCACTCCACTTCACTGTGTATACTACTGCCAAAATAACACTTAGCTACGTAATTCTCATGCTCAAAATGCTTCAGTGATTGACTACAGCCTGATTATTCTGTCCTCCTTACCTTGACATCAAGCTCATCTGTAATCTATCCCCATACTGTATTTATAATCTTTTACTCCTCTACCATGCTCCCACATTCCAATCAAATAGGATCACACACTTTGTTTCCCACACTTGCTGAAAGTTCACTATTCCTTCACACATAAACTTTGGGAAACTCTTAAAGTATCCTGCCAAGTATTAGTTATTTTTATTGGTGACTTAGTTCACATACAACTTGATTAGTGATTTCTCTGTTCAGCTGGAAGTAATCTCACTGGCTTTTGACATTTTGTGGCACTCTTGACAGTGCCATTTAGCTCTGCTTTTGACAGACAGGCCATAGCTTTTCACAATTTCTAGTCCTTATGAATGGAACCCCTGGACATTTTACAGTGCACAGGGCTGTCTCAGCCTGTCTCGGGCACTGGAGGTTTGGGTGAGTTCATCTTTTGTTTTTCAATCCTCACCCAATTTCCAATGATTTTTAGGTAAAGTGGGGAGGGAAGAATGGGGGTGGGGAGGAAAAACAGGAACATCAGTGTGAGAGACACATTGATTGGTTGCCTCTGCACAACCGGGTATGGGGATAGAATATGCAACCATGGTACGTGCCCTTGACCAAAAATTGAACCTGCAACTCTTCGGCCTGGTCTGTGGGCCGACTTAACTGCCGAGCCAAACTGGCCAGGGCTGGGTAAGTTCATCTTAAACCCAAATCTCAGGTATCTTTTCATACCTTCCTATTTTATTTTATTTATATATTTTTTTATCCTCACCTGAGGACATTTTTCCATTTTTTATTCAGATAGAGTGGGAGGGAGAGAGAGGAAGAAAGAGAGAGAGAAACATCAACGTGAAAGGGACACATTGAGTGGCTGCCACCTGCATGACCCCACCATGGCCAGGGACAAACTGCAACTAAAGTACATGCCCTTAGCAGGAACCGAACCCGGGTCTCTCTGGACCACAGGCCGACACTCTAACCGCTAAGCCAAACTGGCCAGGGCCTTTCTATTTTATTTTATACTCTATGGTTTTCCCTTTGAACAGTTTTATTTAGAGTGTCAACATTTGCCCTGGCCTGTTTGGCTCAGTGGTTAGAGCATCGGCCCATGGACCAGAGAGTCCTGGGTTCAGTTCCCGATAAGGGCACGTACCTCGGTTGCAGTTTGTCTCTGGCCCTGGTTGGGGTCGTGTGGATGTCAGCCAGTTGATTTGTCTCTCTCACATCGATGTTCCTCTCTCTGTCTCTTTTCCTCCCTCTCTCCCTCCCACTCTATCTGAAGATAAAATGCAAAAATGTCCTCAGGTGAGGATAATAAAATAAAATTAGAGCATCAACATTTTTTCAAATGTTTCAAACTTTTAAAGTTTTTTGTATCTATATTGAAATTTAGTCAAAATAGAATACTAACATTTATTTTTTACAGCCTTTTTCAGTAAATGATTACATTGTTTGCATATATAACTGTTTATTGAATTTATTATTTAATTAACATGTATGCATTATATAAAATGGAATTTATAATTGTACAATGTATTTTTATTTATTCAGGCCAACCCCAGCAGTTTAAAGAGTTTCCTTTCAGTTGTGAGACTGGCTCATAGAGGCTGTGACGTCGAGGCACCACTTTCACCCCTCACACCAGTGAAGCCTTCGGAATTTGAAAAATTTAAAACCAAAATGGTTATCACATCCAAAAAGGACTATCCTCTAAGCAAGAACTTCCCGTATTATCTGGAACATCTTCAGACTTCTTACTGTGGGCTTGTTCGAGTTGATACGCGTATGCTTTGCTTAAAAAACCTTAAGAAATTAGACTTGAGTCACAACCATATAAAAAAGCTTCCAGCTACAATTGGAGACCTCACCCACCTTCAAGAACTTAACCTGAATGACAATCACTTGGAGTCATTTAGTGTAGCATTGTGTCAGTCTACGCTCCAGAAATCACTTCGGAGTTTGGATCTCAGCAAAAACAAAATTAAGATACTCCCTGTACAGTTTTGCCAGCTCCAAGAACTTACAGATTTAAAACTTGATGATAATGAATTGATTTGCTTTCCTTTCAAGATAGGACAGTTGACAAACCTGCGATTTTTGTCAGCAGCTCGAAATAAGCTTCCATTTTTGCCTAGTGAATTTAGAAATTTATCCCTTGAGTACTTGGATCTTTTTGGAAATACTTTTGAACAGCCAAAAGTTCTTCCAGTTATAAAGCTGCAAACACCATTAACTTTATTGGAATCTTCTGCACGAACCATATTATATAATAGGTAAGACTTTAATAGCCATAAAACATGGTACTTTTGATAGCATCCTAGTGTTATCATCATCCTCAGACTAATCATAAATCTTCAACTATAGTTTATGATGCTGTGCATAATCTAATGCTTTGCTCTGGTGGCCTTCTTCCTGCTCCTGACCTTTGCTTGGAATGCTCTTCCTTTAGAAAGTCTCATAACTCACTTTCTCACTTCATTCAGTGCTCTGCTGAAGTGGCACCCCAGAAAGGTCTTTTCTGACCACCTATCTAAAATTTTATTCCCCACCCCCACCTTACATCTTACATTTTTGGGTTTATTTTTTTCATAGGATGTATTACCTAGCATTATATTTTTTTAAAGATTTTTATTTTATTGCTTTTTTTTTCTTTATTGATTTTAGACAGAGAGGAAGGGAAAGGGTGAGAGATGGAAACATCAATGAGAGAGAACATTGATTGGCCTCCTCCTGCATGCCCCCCACTGGGGATTTGGCCCACAAACTGGGCATGTGCCCTGACTGGGAATCACATTGGCGACCTCTTGGTGCATGGGTCAGCGCTTAACCACTGAGCCACACTGGCTGGGTGAATGGCATTGTTTTTCAATGATCTGACCAGCATCATCAGTATTCCACAGGAACTTGTTAGAGATGCAAGTTCTTGAACTCCATTCCAAACCTACTGAATCAGAAACTGAGGTGGGACCAACTCTCTGTGTGTTAATAAGTACTCCGGGTACTTCATATATACTCTAAAGTTTGAGAACTCTAGTCTGGTATAGTAGTAAAGTGTAGTTTTTGGCGTCAGACTTGGGTTTGATTTCTGGCTTCACCCTTAATGTGGCTTTAGCAAGTTATTTAACCTCTTTGATTGAATATTCTCATCTGTGAAACAGGAACAGAGTTGTGAAGATGAATGAGCTAATGTAATGCCAGAGCATATGGCATATAGTAGGACTCAGTCACTGTTGGTTCTCTTCCCTTTGTCCTTGCACACTAACTGAGGTTGGTCTCATGAGACCAAACTCCAGGTATTCATTTTTGTTCATGTTTCTTTCATTATTGAGTGCCTATAAAATAGCAGTAATACCACATTTCAAAGAAGAGATTCTTAACTTTTTTTATTGGTGGAAGGCTCTTTAAAAATAAAAACAACTGACCAAAATTCTGACCCTAGGAAAATGCACACAAGGATACTCAGAATTTTGCATGCAACTATATATTATTCATGGACCCCACTGAATTCCAATCCAATCCTTCCTCCTCACAGTCCCTGGCTTCAGAATTCTTATTTTAAAGCAGTGGTTTTCAAACTTTACTTCACATTTGGAATCACCTGAGGGGCTTTTAAAAATTCTTATGATTGCCCAGCTGGTGTGGTTCAGTGGTTTGAGCACTGGTCCATGGACTGAGAGGTCCTGGTTCTATTCTCTGTCAGAGCACATGTCCAGGTTGCAGGCTTGATCCTCAGTAGGGGGCATGCAGGAGGCAGCCAATTGATGGTTCTCTCTCACATCAATGTTTCTCTCTACCTTCCTCTCTTTCTAAAAAAATCCAGTAAAAGCATGTTTAAAAATATATCTATGTATAAAAATTCTTGCCCTGGCCATTTTGAATCAGCAGTTAGAGCATCAGCCTGCGGTCCAGAGAGACCCGGGTTGCAGTTTGGCCCTGGCCCTGGTTGGGTCGTGCAGGTGGCAGCCACTCAATGTGTCCCTTTCACATTGATGTTTCTTGTTCTCTCTTCCTCTCTCTCCCTCCCACTCTCTCTGAACAAAAAATAGAAAAAAAATGTCCTTGGGTGAGGATAAAATATAAATAAATAAATAAATAAATAAATAAATAAATAAATAAATATTATTATGATTAATTCCTACCCTAGACTTTTTTTATAATCCTCCAGCGAGTATATTTTTTCCATTGATTTTAAGGGAGAGTGGACGGGAGGGAGGGAAGAGAGAGAGAGAAACCTCGATGTGAGAGATACATGTTGCTTGGTTATCTCTTGCACATGCTCCGATCAGGGATTGAACCCGAGGCCCTTTGGTGCGGGCCGACCCTCTAACCATTGTGCCAGGGCCCACCCTACTCTTATTATATCAGAATGTCTGATAGTAGGACCCAGTTTTGTCTTAAAACCCCCAGGTGATTCTATGTACAACTAGCTCGGATTAAGAATCACTACTTTACACCACTGCTTCTCAAACTTGAGTGCATTCAACTCACCTGGGAGTCTTGTTAGAGGATTGTTTCAGAGGTCTAGGGTGGGGGTGCTGCATTTCAAACAAGCTTTTTGGTGAGGCTGAGGCTACTGAGGCTACTAATCCATGAATCACACTTTGAATAGTCAGTCTCTAAAGTAACTAAGGACTTACTATTGTTTTCTTTTTTAATCCTCACCGGAGGACATTTTTCCATTTTTTGTACAGATAGAGTGGGAGGGAGAGAGAGGAAGAGAGAGAGAGAGAGAGAGAGAGAGAGAGAAACATCCACGTGAAAGGGACACATCGAGTGGCTGCCACCCGCACGACCAACCAGGGCCAGGGACAAACTGCAACCGAAGTACATGCCCTTAGCGGGAACCGAACCTGGGTCTCTCCGGACCGCAGGCTGACGCTCTAACCGCTGAGCCAAACCGGCCAGGGCAGGACTTATTGTTGTTTTCAAGATTCTTAAAATTTGAGAGTGCATCAGAATCATGGTTGTTGAAATAAATGGTTATTAAAGCAGAATTGCTGGATTTTTGTTCACTAAATTTGGAGTGGGGCTGAAGAAGTTGCATTCTAAGGAGATGCTGATACAGCTGGTTAGGGACTACACTTTGAGAACCACTGGTTTAAGGCATTGACTCTTAATTAGGAATTAAAAATTACCTGCTAAATGACAATACATGTAAGTGCCTAGAACAGTGCCTGGTTCATAATAGATCTCAATAAATATTTAACATTTACATATATTACTTATAATAAATATATGAAATTGGCTTATCTGGCAATAAAAATCAATGTTATCATTAGCTGTGGAGGAACTCTTAAGTAATATAGATGAGAAATATAGATGCTTAGATTCTCCCTCAGACCAACTAGTTTAGAGTCACTGGAGATGGGCCCCTATTATCTGTTACTTACATATTTTTTAAATCTCCAGAGCTGATACTGATGGCTCAGGAATAAGACCACTGATTTGAGGTAACCCTAAATGGTGTCTTTTGATAATGAATTGCTCCTGAGCTCATTCTGGGCATTCTCTGAGACATGTGTATGTGTGTATAATTTATTCAAATTTGAAGATTATATCCAAATAAGAAGTAATACAAATGATTTCCAATTTTTTAAAAGACCATAGCTAATTGGCTAAATGATTTAAAAAATACAGACTGACATCCAACATGGAAAAGTGCAGAGTTGGAAGGAAAAAATAGATGATCAAAATGTGATGTCAGAAAAATAATTTGTTAGTGCTAAATGATTTAGCATATAGTATTTTAAACTTGACCTCTGTTAATAGTGGTTCTTGTAAAGTGGCTCTAACCTTTACTAAAGTATAATTTTGCATGTTTTCAGTTATGTTTTAAAAAGAATATAAACCCGCCCTGGCCAGTTTGGCTCAGCGGTTAGAGCGTCGGCCTGCGGTCCGGAGAGACCCGGGTTCGGTTCCCGCTAAGGGCACGTACTTCGGTTGCAGTTTGTCCCCGGCCCTGGTTGGTCGTGCGGGTGGCAGCCACTCGATGTGTCCCTTCACATCGATGTTTCTCTCTCTCTCCCCCGTCCCCTCTCTCCCTCCCACTCTATCTGTACAAAAAATGGAAAAATATCCTCAGGTGAGGATTAAAAAAAAAAAAAAAGAATATAAACCCAAAGCCATGAGAATAATACCTATTATCTATCTCTTGGTAAATTGTTCTAACTACTTGTTATAAATATAAAGTTAAAGTATATTTGAAAAATATGTAGAAATTTAAATTATGTTAGATAGATAATACAGTTTTGTTTTTTTTTTTATCCTCACCCGAGGATATTTTTCCATTTTTTGTACAGATAGAGTTGAAGGGAGAGAGAGGAAGGGAGAGAGAGAGAGAGAAACATCGATGTGAAGGGACACATCGAGTGGCTGCCACCCACACGACCAACCAGGGCCGGGGACAAACTGCAACCGAAGTACGTGCCCTTAGCGGGAACCGAACCCGGGTCTCTCCGGACCGCAGGCCGACGCTCTAACCGCTGAGCCAAACCGGCCAGGGCGATAATACAGTTTTTAACTGTTGGCTTTTTCCTTAGACTATAACCAATAGCCTGGAAGAGATTAATGTAAATATGTGATAGACATTTCCTGGCACAGTTATTAAAAAATTATTACTGCCCTGGCCGGTTTGACTCAGCAGTTGGAGCATTGGCTTGTGGACCAGAGAGTCCTGGGTTCGGTTCCCGCTAGGGGCACATACAAAAAAAAAAAAAGACTTGAAATATTCTCAGAATTAAAAAATTACTTGCACCTGGCTGGTGTGGCTCAGTGGTTGAGCATCAACCCATGCACCTAGCGGTCGCTGGTTCGATTCCTGGTCAGGGCACATGCCCTGGTTGTGGGCTTGATCCCCAAAGAGGGAGTATGCAGAAGGCAGCCAATCGATGTTCTCTCTTATCAATGTTTCTCTCTCTCTCCTTTCCTCTCTGTCTAAAAATCAGTAAAGAGAAAAATAATTTTTAATTATTACTTGCACAAGGAACAAGTAAGTACATGTGAAAAAATGTACAAACAAGGCCAATTCCAAATCCCTTACAAAAGTAGACCGCTGTTTTTGATTTGATGTGTATCTTTTCAGGCTTTTCTGAAAGGATTTTATTTTATTATTACCATTTTTTAAATTATTGTTATTTTTTAAATCCTTGCCTGAGGATATTTTTCCATTTATATTCAGATAGAGCGGTAGGGGCAGTGAGAGAGAGAGAAAAACATTGATGAGAGAGAGACACATCGATTGGTTGCCTCCCACATGACCCTGACCAGGGCAGGGGACCGAACTACAACCAAGGTATGTGCCTTGACTGAAATCAAACCTAAGACTCTTTGGTCCACGTGCTGATGCTCTAACTGCTGAGCCAAACCAGCCAGGGTTCTAAAAGGATTTTAAACTCCATTTTAAATAAGAGTAGGTTTTGTTTATGTGTTGTAAAAGATCTGAACACCTAATGTGTGTCAGCATATAGAAACAGCAGTGTGCCTGGTGGCTCAGTAGATTGAGCTTTGTCCCATGGAGTGAGAGGTCCCGATTCGATTTATGGTCAGGGCACATGCCCGGGTTGTGGGCTCGATGCCCAGTGGGGGGCATGCAGGAGGCAGCCAATTGATGCTTCTCTCTCACGTTGATGTCTCTTATCTCCCTTCCTCTCTCTCTCTAAAAAAATCAATAAAAACTTTTTTTTTTTTTTAAAGCGGTGTGAGACTAAGTGCCTGGAACATGGTTGTATTTAGGGGGAAGAGTTGGGCATTGGGCAGGCAATCACAAAAGACTGTTGGACTTAGACTTGATTTTTTCCTCACCCGAGGACATTTTTCGATATTTTGTTCAGATAGAGTGGGAGGGAGAGAGAGAGAGAGAGAGAGAGAAACATCGACGTGAAAGCGACACATCGAGTGGTTGCCACCCACACGACCCAACCAGGGCCGGGGTCAAACTGCAACCAAGGTACGCGCCCTTAGCGGGAACCGAACCCGGGTCTCTCCGGACCGCAGGCCAACGCTCTAACCGCTGAGCCAAACCGGCCAGGGCGGACTTAGACTTGATTTTAAGTGCTTTGGGCACCACTGAAGTTTTAAGCAGGCGGGTGAGTGATTTAAGCAAGGTGAGGGTAGCCTTACTTGCTTAGCCAGTAAAGTAAAACTAATGCCCCAAACAACATGTTTTAAATTTGTTTCACACAGTTTAAAATTTCCCTTTGAATAATTGATGCCTAGGAGAGTATGTGGATTTATTTAAGTTTCTTCACAGGTAGAACTCCTTAACTCTCCTATTACCATCATGAGAATTGTATGACAGAACTATATATTTAACTTTTCATGTTACACTAGTTATACAGTATAATTATATAAAGGACAGATGACTCATTCTATTCAGTGGATTATGCTATTAAGTGGTAGTGCTAAAAGATACTTTATAGAGTGGTATAGATCGTTGGTTTACAATATGCTGTTTTTTAAATATTTTCCCCATTGCCCAGTTTGTAAGATAAAACAATATACTGTGTCATTTAATTATTTTAATTTTTCATAGGTGTAAGTCACTGCTTAATAATTCATATTCTAATACATGAAGTTCTGAATCTAGTAACATATTTTAAAATATTTTTAAACTTTTCTTTTTCCAATAGGATTCCATATGGCTCACATATCATTCCTTTCCATCTTTGCAAAGATTTGGATACTGCAAAAACCTGTGTTTGTGGAAGATTCTGCCTAAGCTGTTTCATTCAGGGAATAACTACCATGAATCTACACTCTGTTGCTCATACTGTGGTCTTAGTAGATAACATGGGTGGCACTGAAGCACCTGTTATCTCTTATTTCTGTTCTCTGTCCTGTTACGTAAATTCCTGTGATATGTTAAAGTAATAGATGATACCACAAAAAGACATTGTTGACTTACAAATCAGTTTGGGATTCATTTATGGTTTAACAGTGTTCAAGTGGAAAAAGGGAAGCTTTTTTGTATACATGCTTGAGGGGAAGAATGTGTGTTACTCTAACATTTTCAATAATTTGACTGTAAAATCTTAATTTTATTAAAACCTAATTAATCTTTTTGTCGGGTTAACTTTTATGTTTTTTGCACTTGTATTGATTTTAGCCTAGTGTTACCAGAATAGATTGTAGGATTATCTTTCAAGCATATAGTTATCCCAATCACTCTGGTCATAGAATTTTCTTATGAACTTTCTTCTTTCAATTAAAGAAATCGAGTCTTTATAGGCAGAAAATATTCTTTGGAGAATTAATATGGTCTACTTTTGTGTAAGTTTTTAAGCATACCACCTTTTTTATTTTTAGGTATATTCTACACATGGAATTTTACATTTCACCGAGCATAAAGTCGGAGTTGCTTTGGGAAAGACTTCAAGCTTTTTTAAGTTTCATAATGTTAATCACATAATCTTTGTTGTACTATATTTTTTTAATTTTTAGGACTCGAATAAGATTTTGGTTGGGTGAGAGCAGAAAATGGCTATTTTTTACTGACATCGTGTATTATTGGAGGGTTCTTTTTTTGTTTATTATTTTAGTTACTTAATATGTTTAAGTTTTTTAAATTTAAAAAGTGGTGGCAATACACCAGCTAAAGGATGAGGAGGGTTTGAACTAGGGCAGAAGGAATAGAAAAGGAACCAACTTGAAACAATCTGGAAAATCGAATCAGTAGAACTGTTTCTTCTGTTCATTCCTCTGCCCTTCTTAAATTAACTTCCCTCCTAGATCATTGTAATAGTCTCATACTGGTTTCTCAGAACAAAGAAGGGTAAAGAGTAAAAGTTACTGGAGAAAACCCTCTCCAGTGTTATCGCTGCTTTGTGCTTACGAGTTAGAGGTGGAGTCTATATAAGGCTATTTCTTATGTAACCTCCTTTGTCTTCCTCAAGTATTTATTTGGGGCACTTTTTTCCCCCCTGAAAATACAAATATTCTTGAGCAAATACTGTTTTAAGTTTTTATTAAAACTTTTTATGTATATGAACTCCAAAGCAGTTTTTTCTCAGAGCTGATTCTTTGAAAGACAAAGCATGGATCCAGAGGAGTAATTCTTTGGGTGACCTTAAATATGTAATGCTAGTGATTAAATCTTCCTGAAAAATCTCTGTATATTATTTCTCGTTTTCATTTTAAAAATTATATATAACGCATACATGCCTTAAATAAAAAGAGCTGCAATTTATCCGATACCTACATTGTTCCAGTTGTTTTATATGCAGTATTTTATTTAATCCTCACAGATCACCCTAGGGGGGAAGTACCAAGACCCCAGATAAGAGATTTTAGGCCCAAGCTTCATACTGCCTTCTAAAGTTAATTCACTTTGGTCTCTAAAACCAAGGGTTCTGAGATTAAGTATCTAAATTGGTGAGGGATTGCCCATAAATATAAAACCACATTAAAACATGGTTCTTTAGCCCTGGCTGGGTGGCGCAGTTGATTGGAGTGTCATCCTATACACCAAAAGGTTGCAGGTTCAGTTTCTGGTCAGGGCACATACCCAGGTTGCTGGTTCATACATCTGGGGAAACTGATCAATGTATCTCTCACATCAATGTTTCTTTCTTTCTCTAAAATCAATAAAAACATCTTAGGGTGAAGATTTAAAAAAAAAAAAAAATCATTGTTTTTTAAATTGTTCTATGGCACACTTAAAATTTGTGCCTGGGCCCAGCCTTTGGAGATAACCCCACTGTGCCAACACTGGTGCACATGAAAGTCATCTAATCCTCAAAAAAAAAAAAAAATTGTGCATGTCTGACTTCTATATTCTTGTAGAAAAACAATTATTTTTTTCACTGACAATTGCAGATATAGTGTTGGGAATAAGTGTTAACCATATGTTACTCCTAGTCCTTTGCCTGTCTTAACTCATTTACAAATCATCCCATGTAAAGAACATTAGCTGACTTAAAATTCATATACAAAAAAGTAGAGTTCCTTGCCCTCTTCTCATAACCCGTATCTTTCCCAGTTTTTCCTTGCATTTGATACTCAACTTGTTACTTCCTTGCCTTTCATAGGTAATGACTAGGCTCACTTTTTTGGTACGTGTCCCTAGCGGGATCCGAACCCGGGACTCTCTGGTCCACAGGCCGAGGCTCCAACCGCTGAGCCAAACTGGCCAGGGCTAGGCTCACTTTTTTTTTATCCTCACCCGAGGACACTTTTTTCATTTTTTGTTCAGGTAAGAGTGGAAGAGAGAGAGATAAACATCGATGTGAAAGGGACACATTGAGTAGCTGCCACCTGCACGACCCAACCAGGGCTGGAGACAAACTGCAACTGAGATACATGCCCTTAGTGGGAACCGAACCCAGGCCTCTCTGGACCTCAGGCCAACACTCTAACCTCTGAGCCAAACTGGCCAGGGCTAGGCTCACTTCTTTAGTTTCTAACTTCCATCATGACTGCATACCTCCTCAACCCTCCCAATAGTCAAGACGTTACAACATTTGAGTATTTACCAGAGTACATAGTCTCCTTATCTGTGGTTTAGTTACTAGTGGTCAGTGGTGATCTAAAAATATTAAATGGAAAAATTCCAGAAATAATTCATAAGTTTTAAAATTGTGGGTCATTCCAATTAGTGTAGCTATTAGTTATGAGACCACATTCCCATAACTTCTATTGTAAGTTATAAAAAAGAGTATATGCTACCATGCACTTTTTTTTACTAGCTTCAGAAGTTTAGGTGGAAGTCAATTTTTAACTCCTACCTTACATTCGAGAGACCATGTTCTAAAACAGTGCGGTCCAAAAATATGGGCAATATTACTAGCTATGTGGCTGGTGAGAACTAAATACAGCTAGTATAATTGAGGAAATGCCTTTTAAATTTAAGTAGCAGTTATGTGGCTAGTGGTCCCTGCTAGACAGTAATTTATAGTCAGCTTTTAATCCCCACTTGGATCCTTTGCTCCACTCAGTCTGCTATACACAAGTTTAGCTTGTCCTCTTCATTTGTTTTTCAAAATCTGATTGAGAGCTTTCCCAGCAGCTCATCAATCATGATTATGAATTCACCCAACATATTTGAAGTTGATCAGAAAAAAAGTAAGTAAAGTATCGATATTTTCCCTGCTATGATTTAGCTCTGTAACCTAGTTGTTTGAGAAGGGACTCTGTCTTTACATATAAATACAAAATCCCAGTTCTTGTGGAACTAAGTTTACTAATTTGAGATGATTCACTTACAAATTTATTCTTATTTCCTTAATTTAGAACCACACTGAGTATGCAATGCTTTTTATATTTCAAAAAAAATGCCAAAAGATATGAGTAAGAATATCACTGTATTTATTTTCATACAGGGAATTTTTCTACAGCTTCGACATTTTCCTCTCAAACATAAAACAAGAAGCCCAAAGCTTAGAACTGGATCACTTGGCCCTTTCTCTTCTTATCTCCTCCCAGTTCAAAATGTTTGCATCTCTTAATGGCCAGCATCCTCTTGGATCTGCAGTTAGGCTCAACACATTCAAGCCTCAGCACAATCTTCTTTGTGGTTTTAGCTTTCTTTCGGAAAATCGGCTTTGTCTGCCCTCCGTAGCCACTCTGCTTCCGATCATAGCGCCTCTTCCCCTGGGCATACAGGGAATCCTTGCCTTTCTTATACTGGGTCACTTTGTGAGGCTGATGCTTTCCACACTTCTTACAGAAAGTCCTTCGGGTTTTAGGCACATTGACCATCTTGGCAGAACTGTTTACAGCGATGAAAACTGTGGTGAGACATTTAAAACACAGCAGCTGTTAAACATTTTGAAGAGTAATGACATAACATAATCAGTAACGTGTAAATCCAACGAATTTTCCATGAGTAAACGCACATAAAAGTGCACACCTTTTTGGAATGCTTAAATAATGGCAGTACTTTTAGAATGAGGCTCCCTAAAAACAGCAAGAGCAGCAGCACAGGGTTCCCTGTATAAAGTGAGGGCTTAATTTACGGTGGCTGCTCAAAAGAAGAGCGTAGTGGTGTTCAGTTAATCTTTGTCCACAGAGAGGGCCAAGGCTAGAGTTTCTTTCCGACTCCTCAAACCCTCCTCCTGTTTCAGCTCCTGGGCATGCTCGGTTCTATGTGCGTAGAGTAGCTACTGCTAGGGCCCGCCCCCGTTCCTTCCCGGAGAACCGCAGGCAGGAGTCCGGTTTCACATTTCCCCTCCGAAGCACCGCGCACCGTCACATCAGCCGGCCCGAAGGCTGACGTGTCCTTAACAAGTGCCTCCCAGCCCAGCCGCGCCACGCGTGAGCCCCTTTCCTGAGAAGAAGCCCGCTCGTGAACTCTATCTGGCCAAGGCAGCGGGTCTCGCCCTCCCTTTCCTACCAGGGCCTAGTCTATCCCCGGTTTCTGTGCACAGGGGGCTCCCCTAAAGGCTTGATCTTGGCTCACCGGGAAACGCAGAGTCCACACGCCTCGCCTGGCTCAGCTCGCGCCCAACAGGAAATGGAGGAAAGAAGCGGAAGCAGGAACCGAGCCTTGAGCGACAGTGCCACGGGCCAATAGACAGAGGGCAGCGACGGCCGGGCGCCTCCGAACGCGTCGTGGAAGAACCAACCAATGGCCCGAGGGGCGGGTCGGAGGGGTGTGGGCCCGAAGGCCGCGGCGCTCCGCGGGCCAGTCGCTGGTTGTCAGAGCTGAGGCTGCTGGAGTGGGTTGAGGTTTCGTTGTTCGGTCTTCGTCGTCTGGGACCCGCGTAAGCATGAAGACGCAGGGCCGCTGGAGGCGCAGGTAACGAAGCTGGGGTGCGGTGGGGCCGTGGCGGGGCTTTTTCCGGGACCGGTGTTGAATGGAGAGGACTGAGGCGACCCCGAGCCCCGGCCCCTAGCGGCGGGGCCGCTGCTCGAGCTGCAGCTGCCAGGCGAGGATGTGTGGAGCCTGGGCGGCACGGGGAAGCTGAGCGCCTTCGGGCCCCAGGACGCCTGGGGCCCGGGATGAGTTAGCGAGGGCAGCCGCGGGGCCAGTTCCGACCGCTACAGGCCAACGCGACGACCGCTGCCCGCCCGCCCCTTCTGTGCAGAAGCCGCTAGCTCCTTTCCGCACCGTGCGCCTGCCAGCGCTCCCGGCCCTGGAGACCATGAGGTTCCGCATCTACAAGCGGAAGGTGCTGATCCTGACGCTCGTGGTGGCCGCCTGCGGCTTCGTCCTTTGGAGCAGCAATGGGCGACAAAGGAAGAACGAGGCCCTCGCCCCGCCGCTGCTGGACGCCGAGCCCGCGCGGGGTGCGGGTGGCCGGAGCGGGGACCAGCCCGCCGTGTCCATAGGTATCCGCCGGGTCTCCAACGAGTCAGCGGCTCCGCTGGTCGCAGCGGCCCCGCAGCCAGAGGCGGACAACCTGACGCTGCGGTACCGGTCCCTGGTATACCAGCTGAACTTTGATCAAACGCTGAGGAATGTAGATAAGGCCGGCTCCTGGCCCCCCCGAGAGCTAGTGCTGGTGGTCCAGGTACATAACCGGCCCGATTACCTCAAACTGCTTCTGGACTCACTTCGAAAAGCCCAGGGCATTGACAACGTCCTCGTCATCTTTAGCCATGACTTCTGGTCGACAGAGATCAATCAGCTGATCGCTGGGGTGGATTTCTGCCCTGTTCTGCAGGTATTCTTTCCTTTCAGCATTCAGTTGTACCCCAACGAGTTTCCGGGCAGTGACCCCAGAGATTGCCCCAGAGATCTGGAAAAGAATGCTGCTCTGAAAATGGGATGCATTAATGCTGAGTATCCTGACTCCTTTGGCCATTATAGAGAGGCCAAATTCTCCCAAACCAAACACCATTGGTGGTGGAAGCTGCATTTTGTATGGGAAAGGGTCAAAGTTCTTCGAGACTATGCTGGCCTCATGCTTTTCCTAGAGGAGGATCACTACTTAGCCCCCGACTTTTACCATGTTTTCAAAAAGATGTGGAAATTAAAGCAGCAAGAGTGTCCCGACTGTGATGTTCTCTCCCTGGGAACCTATACTGCCAGTCGAAGTTTCTCTGGCATTGCTGACAAGGTAGATGTGAAAACTTGGAAATCCACAGAGCACAATATGGGTCTAGCCTTGACCCGGGATGCATATCAGAAGCTGATCGACTGCACAGACACTTTCTGCACTTATGATGATTATAACTGGGACTGGACTCTTCAGTATTTGACTGTATCTTGTCTTCCAAAATTCTGGAAAGTGCTGGTTCCTCAGGTACCTAGGATTTTTCATGCTGGAGACTGTGGTATGCACCACAAGAAAACCTGTAAACCATCCACCCAGAGTGCCCAAATTGAATCACTCTTAAATAGTAACAAACTGTACTTGTTTCCAGAAACTCTAACTATCAGTGAGAAGTTTATGGCACCCATTTCCCCACCTAGGAAAAATGGAGGGTGGGGAGATATTAGAGACCATGAACTCTGTAAAAGTTATAGAAGACTGCAGTGAAAAGTCACAATTACAGAGGCTAAAAGTGACAGTCTTCTATTTTTGATATTTGTCCAAACAGGACAATTGAGTAAGAGTTAAGGGACTGGTTTCTGCTTTAATACAAAAAAACAAAACAACTTATTGTAAAAGGTGTCCAAGTATAGTAATCTTTTCATTTTATGTCTGATTAAGATTTAAAACACAAATTTTCATTTTGGAGTTGGGTTTTAAAGCTCACTCTATATCTGCTAAAGGTAATAATCATTACTGTGAGAAAAGGGAAAATTTTATTTAAATTGCATCTATTAATCTTTTTACCTGGAACTTTGTATACTTTTCCACTTTCAAAACATTTTAAGTACAGCAAAATTTATTTAAAATTGTCATAGCAGTAAAAAGTATTACAATGAAATTGTTAAGTATTAATGGAACAAGCCCAGTTTCACTCTCCAGAGTTACTAGGAAGAGATTGCTTCACTGGTTTTATAATTCAAAAGTTATGTTTGTTAAACACTCTGTCAAAACAGAATGAATTTCAGTATTACAGATTCCTGTATTATTGTGTTAAGATTTGCCTGTGCTTTGGAACCTTCATAGAACATACTTTCTTTGGAATGTGTTTGATTGATAAGAAAATTTTAACACTGTTTTCACCTCAATATAGAAAAACAGTGGTTTTTGTTTCTTTTTTTTCTTTTAGTGCTGCCAAAATAAAATACTCAATTTTGCATAAAAGGGTTCCTAATAATTTTGCAGAATAAATTTTGTTCACTCTTTACACCAAAATTCAGTAAAGACATTCTACAAGTTTTAAAGTTAGCATTGCATCTTCATATTCACTATTTGTACATTATATAACTGAGTTTGAAATAAAGAAAACACAGCTCTTGACAGTGCATTCCCTTTGGAAGAAATTAGTCAGGCATAGATAATGAATAATACAAAGCTGCTGTGTAGCCTGGCCAGTGTGGTTTAGTGGTTGAGCGTCAACCCATGCACCAAGAGATCGCAGGTTTGATTCCCAGTCAGAGCACAAACCCAGGTTGTGGGCCTGATCCTTGGGGGCATGCAGGAGGCGGCCAGTCGATGTTCTCTCTCATCGATGTTTCTTTCTCTCTCCCTGTCCCTTCCTCTCTATCTAAAATCAATAGTAATTTTTTTAAAAGCTGCTGTGTAAGTGAAATACAGCCAGAAATGATACAAAAGTTCAGTCATTTCAAAGTGAAACATGTTATAGTGCCAGCTTTATTTTAACTAACATCATACTTTTTAAAAGGATACAGTAAATAATAGGAAATAGGCTTAAAATTTACTCCACATTTAATATAGAAATTTCCCTTAACAGTATACAATTCCATTCAACCAAAAATTACTCACAGGCTAATTTCTCTGTAGGTATTATAAATAGTCATTTCAATCTAAGAAAATTGTTATTAAGTGGATAGTTTCAAAATTATTGCATCAAATTAAGATTCGTACTATGGTTGAAAAATGCATTTGGTCATCTAAGGTGGGGCATATAGTTTTCTTGTTTTATAAGCTAGCTAACATACTGTCTTCAATCCAGTCTGGTTCCAGACTTTATCAGGATTGTAAATGTAAATCATGATGAATTGCCAGGCTTTGTACCAGTTTTTGCTACTCTGACCTCACTAGTTCAAAGGGCTAAAGATATTAGGTTATTTCCAGGACTAAGGGTAAGCCCAGAGGTTTGAATTGGTAGCTGTTTTTGGAACAAATGCATCAGCTCATGGCCTTTGGGGTCAGAGATTAGGTCAACAGATATTTTCCTTTCTACATTTTCTTTCAAGTAGTCCTAAAAATTTTTGTGAGAAAAATCTATTAGGATTTTCTTCTGACCTCAAGTAAAAATACTTTTCCACAAAATTAATAACTTAGCCACAGATACATTACCTGCTGCCTTCTTTAGGTGTATAAAGGTAATTGATTATAAAATACATTTTTTGTTGTCTTCATGTAATATAATGATGATAATTTTCCTTTGGGAGCAGATTCCTAGATGTTTCACTTGTCCTGCTCTAAAGTTCATAAATGTACTCTATAAAACCAAGAGTTGTTTTAATATAAAACAGTAACTTCTAAAAACCTCTTTAAAAATACTAAAATTTCAAAGTCATTACTAAATAACCTGTATTTAGTAATAAATAACCTGTATATATTAGAAATATATATCTATATATATTTCTGTGACAGATGAGGAAAGTAAAACAGAGTTGAAGCAAAAATACTAAATTTGTATTATAATTGTTTGAATTGTTAATATTGTTTAGTAAAGTTCCTTCATTTCTAAGAATCTTTATTTCAAGCATAAATACATCCTATTTAGAGAAACTTCTAAACACAGTTTTGAGATTCTGCCCCCCTCAACACACACAACTCATATTTCTAGTTAATTACATTCTTGAGAATTACTTTTTGACAAACACAACTTAGTATTTTGAAACTTTATTAAAGTGTAATGGTAAACAAAAGAAGCCAAAAACAACACAGAAGTAAATATATACAAGTTGTATTAAAACTAGATGTTTAATTCTCAGGAAAAAATATACATCTATCAGAGGAATCACAAAGCTTATCTCCCTAATTAAGGAAACTGTATAAACTGTACATGCAAAAAAATAAATATCTACAGTTTCCCCATTAGAATCAAAATTCCAAATTTTAATTTCTTGAATATCTTCAGTTTTAAAGACAGTGAACACAGAACCTATTTTAAACCCAAAATATACTTTCTTAAAAATCTTTGGTTTTAAGATAGTTAACAAAAATAGAATTTTAAATCCAAAAATGATTTACTCTTCATCTTTAAATTCTGAAATTATATAGAATTAATCCAAGTCGTACAGCAATGAATTCTGAAAACTGAATGCACAATGAGTCACATGATCTTTAATAATCTGCACACTACCATCCTGCATATTGATTTCTTTTATACTATCAAAACCAGGTATATTGTGAACTGTTAATTCTTTCTCTTCAGTCATTACTGGTCCTTTTAAATTTTCTTTCTCCTCACTTGAGTAAACAGCATCTTTTTCTTTTATAAATTCAGGTTCTATTTTTGACTCGGGTAGCAGAAACTTTCCAGATAACATTTGGGACACATCAAGAGACTCTTGTTGCAAGTATTCAACTGAACCACAACTGTCTATTTCTTGTACTTTAACTGCTACAGATGAATCAGAATCAGTTGTTGAGGTGGTAGGATGTTCTATATTTCCTTTTTCAGTTAGATGACTTCCTTGGTTGACTCCTTCCTTTTCAGGAAGCTGCTCAGAGTTATTACATTCTTGCAACTATGTCAAAAGAAACAACAAATTAATGATTCTCTAAAACAAATAGAAAATTAAGTTGTAGTACCACCTGGAAAAAATTATTTTGTCTTAAGTTGTGAGAGAATAACCCTTGCAGACCTGCAGACAGGCTTCTTCCTCCTCAAAGTCATCCTCCAAATGCTGCCAGTCATTTACTGACAATGCAAACAGTGCAAACCTGGCATTAATTCTCTGATTAAATTCTTTCAGTGACTCATCTCCCTCAGGATAAAATAATCCTGGCCTACAAACCCGTTAGCAGTCATTCTTACAAGGGCATTCTTTAATTTTCTTGAATTTCTGTGATTCTTCAGAGCCACTCTCCCCCCAGTTCACAAATGCCAATTGTGCTAGGTAAATTATTTCTGCATTCAATACTGAAGACTGGAAATATAACCAAACTTAAGATACAACTAGAAAGAATGAACAAATTGTTGACATAGTTATCACGGTTTGAGAGTCAAAAAGACATATGTCCCTGGACTAACTTTCCAATTGACATTTATTTTATGATTAAATAATAGATATAAAAATGAATTGCAGAGTCTTTATTCCTTTCCCCAGCCATTATGTGCATTTAGCTTAAAATTACAACATCAAAAATTAAATTATTCATTAGGCTTTTTTTTTTTTTTATCCTCACCCAAGGACATTTTTCCATTCTTTGTTCAGATAGAGCGGGATGGAAGGAGAGGGAGAGAGAGAGAGAGAGAGAGAAAGAGAGAGAAACCAACGTGAAAGGGACACATTGAATGGCTGCCACCCCCATGACCAACCAGGGCCGGGGACAAACTGCAACCAAGGTATGCGCCCCTAGTGGGAACCGAACCCATGTCTCTCTGGACCTCAGGCCGACACTCTAACCACTGAGCCAAACCAGCCAGAGCCATTTGGCTTTAACCTTGTCCTAAGTCACTATTCAATAAAACCCACCAAAATCCTTACCTTTGCATGAATTTGAATCTTGCTATCAGTAACCTGAAGAACTTCAATTAACGGTGGGGTTGGGGGTATTGTCGGTTGGAATGGAGAGCTCAGGACCTCGTCAAGAAATTCATTAACATTTTCTTCATTGACAAACAATCTTTCCTATAACAAAAAGAGAAAAAAAATTCTGTTTTATAGGTCATACTTCACAATTTTATATAAATACAGCTCATAAAAGTTCTCACACAGTTCAGGATTACACTTTTTAAATGTTTAATGTTAGTCTTGTATACAGCAGTAAGAATAGCAAGAGTACATACACATAAAAGAAAAATTCAGTTCCTTTTCTAGGTCTCTATTAAATCTGATGTATATTTTCTCTCCTAGATAATCTTACTTACAAGTGATATTTTCTCTTAACATTTTATAAGAATAACATTACCTCTAGAACTATAAATGCAGCTCCAGCTATAAAATGTAATTCAATTTTAGAACACTTCCCAATGAGTCAGCTAAGATATGCACATGACAGGATCTATTCAAATTTTGTGTGAACAGTTTGCCTCTTAGTTTTTGTTCAGGTAAGAGCCAAGTGTAATATTTTATTTAAAAGAGGTATATTTTATTTTTAAGCGATGAGATAATCTAGTGTGATACCAGCATATAGCTATTTATAAGAAGAGGTAGTTTTCCAGACTATTAGGAAAAGCAAAAATCAAATTCACAAAAATCCCAGACACAAAGCAATTTGTTCATGTTCATATCAAGTGAATATAGGCATATAGTTAGGGCACTGAAAGAATAACCATATTCATAAAACAAGTTCCTTGTTGCCCCAAATAAAAGTATTTTCCTCTGTACTTTCATATAAATTTAATAATTACCAAAAAAAGTTCATTATTTAGTCAAAATGGGAGAAAATCGGAAAGACAAGTTTCAGGTTTTCTCCCATTAAACAGTATTTGAACTTGGGAACACCTACAAAACACGTGAACCTTGGGAACAGAAAAGTTTTGCTTTTGGAGTAATTTGCCTTGCTATTTTGAAGATCCAGAATAACACTGTATTATAAAAATACCCCCATCAAAAGCATTTCTAAGTTTCCTGTTTCTGGAAAAGACACATCAATTGTAAAACAATACACCAAACAGTTTGGTATTTAGTTAACCCAAGAAAAAATGTTATAATGGAAATTGATATGATTAAAATGCAAACAATTTGCATAAAATTGTCTTCACATTCCAATGACTGATTTTACTATAAGACACTGTATTCAGTAGTCCTGAAGTGTTAGGAAAATTCCTCCAATGACTGATTTTACTATAAGACACTGTATTCAGTAGTCCTGAAGTGTTAGGAAAATTCCCAGTGAATATTTAAGGCTTATATAAATATATTTTATACTTATTTATGTAAAGTAACAATTCTAAACTTGACAGCCACAAATCAGTCTCTACACTGTAATTATTTTCACATAATGTATATAATATAATCATGATATATTATCTACCCACCCACTACTCTTGTGATTTTTCTTTTTTATTGATTTTCAGAGAAAGAGAAAGGAAGGAGCGAGAGAGAGAAACATTGATCGGTGGCCTCCTGCAAACTGCCTACCTGGGATCCAGCCTGCAACCAAATCGAACCCGCAACCTTTTGGTGCACAGAATAACGCCCAACCAACTGAGCCACACCAGCCAAGACTACTCTTGTGATTTTTTTTTTAGAAATTTACTTTAGTACTTAAGAGCCTGATCCAGTGACAGTGAAATGTAAAGCAAAAAACACTATGATTCTATTAGCCTTAGCAAATGTGATGATTAATGAAATTATAAATCTATGTCAGGCTTCAAAGGTATAAAATATACCTGCCATAATCTTGTTTTTGTCTGGTTTCTTTGCTAAAATAATGCTAGTGTACGAGAACATCAGATTAAAATATATTCTTTAGTATTTTCTTTCTTTTTTAAAAAAAATCCTCATCCAAGGACATTTTTCTACTTTTTTGTTGTTGTTCAAATAGAGCAGGAGGGAGAAAGAAGAGAGAGAAACATGGACGTGAAAGGGACACATCGAGTGGCTGCCCCCCGCACAACCCACAACCCAACCAGGGTCGGGGTCAAACTGCAACCCAGATACGTGCCCTTAGTGGGAATCAAACCGGGGTCCTCTGGACTGTAGCCGAGGTTCTAACCGCTGAGCCAAACCAGCCAGGGCTCTTTAATATTTTTTTCAACTGCTTGTCCACATAGCTTCTCATATTGTAAGTTATTTTCACATTTATTAAGACAATTACAGGAGAATGACTGCCCTTTCCTAAATTTCCCCCTTCTGATGACATAAACAGATAGTCAATTTCCTATTTGATATTATCATGAAGTCTTTTACCTAGTCCAGGCTACTCATTTTACCACTTTTTTTTTTTTTTTTTTTTTTTTTTATAAGTTTATTGCAGATATAACAGCAATGTTAAAATCAACATGTTTAATTCTTTTTTTTTTTTTTTTTTCCCTCACCTGAGGATATTTTTCCATTTTTTGTACAGATAGAGAGGGAGGGAGAGAGGAAGAGGGAGAGAGAGAGAAACATTGACGTGAAGGGACACATCGAGTGGCTGCCACCCGCACGACCAACCAGGGCCGGGGACAAACTGCAACCAAAGTACATGCCCTTAGCGGGAACTGAACCCGGGTCTCTCCGGACCGCAGGCCGACGCTCTAACCGCTGAGCCAAACTGGCCAGGGCCATTTTACCACTTTTTGAGGCTTTCAAATTAACCACTCCTCACAGAAGATACCCCTCATAAAATATAAAAGTAACAGCAAGTTTCTAGAAAAACAATGGGGAAGAAGTGAAAATTTCTGGCAGGTTAAAAGCCTAATGCCCCAAACTTAATTTTTAATATATAATCTGCGCAATTTGTGTTATTTCTGGGAATTAAACCCTTGAATATGTTTAAAGAGCTTTAAAAATGTACATGTGACATTGATACAAACCCCCATTAAAGCCACTAATTGTTCATTTATGAGTTTACAAAGTTCTTTAGAACTTCAAACTTTTAGTCGTTTTTTTCAATATTTGCCCATAGTACTGGAGTATTGAACCTGAAATTCAAGAATCTCAAAAACTTAAGTATAGTAGCAACTACAACAGGACATACTGAATTATCAAAATTATAGCCTAAATAAACTAGGTAAAGCCCAGCCCAGTTCTACAGTATATACCCAGACGTGTAGCTAGCTAATAGTGCCATTCAGTTTAACAAACGTTTATATTACACTTTGTTAAGTGCCAGTCATTATGCCAACTACTACTAGGGGCTTAAAGATGATTAAAACAGATGCAAAAAAGATGTAATTCCAATGTAACAATGCCCACCTGATGACAACCCACCAAGATCAGGGACTAAAGTCAGTCAGCACTATATGGTCGAAAGGACAAGGGATTTATTTAGATTGACACCTCTTTCTGAATTCGTTTTTCTACGTAAGAAATGTGGCTAAGTGACTTTTGCTCTCCAGATGTAAACTTGTTTACTTTCTAAGGATGGACAATGTTAATTACCAGCTTAAAATATGGCCCTAACAGAGTGCCTTTCAAACCTATTTGGATCATCAACCCCTTTGAGAATGTGACTAAAGTTATAGTCCTTCTCAGAAGAAAAGCGTCTTCAGCTTTTTGCATACAATCTTAGAGGTTCGATGGACTCCAGGGAAACACATGCATTAAGAGTAATTCTGAAGATCTGAAACCCATCCTTCAGAGGGAATGCGTGATTTTGTTTTCATTTTCAATATGCGTTTATGCGCACTGACATCTTTTAGCACATGTATCAATTTCAAGTTATTTCTAGAGAAATTCTAATGGAAAATATACTTTGTTTAGGATACACTGAGAGGATATGATTTTTTAAAAGGATGAAATATTCTAAATATTAAGACTCGAGAAAGAACTGTTACCTTCAAAGACTCGTTGTTTAAACCATAATACCATTCTCTCCACTGTCCATAGCACCCTGCAGATTTGGCCAGTTCTATTACTGCATTGTTTGAAGAAATGCTAACCACTGGTTCTTTCAGGCTTAATTTATTTTCTGGAGCAAACTGCAATAAGAAGGAATAATAAACTAAGTCTTGAGTGGAGAAGCACAATTTGTACCGGATGGGGCTCACATCCCCTTGAAGACTTTGAGGCTGGATCCCAGGCACTTGAATTAGCAGAGTCAGGGATTCTTCATCCTGATTACATTGCAGAGGAGGACACAGAGGTCCTCCGCTGTCTGTCTCGGGACCATCCATGGCTAGATCAGAAGGCTCCCTGCCCGAGTCTTCCCGGGCCACGTGGGTCTCAACGCTGAGATCTCCGCACGCACTCCCTCTTCCTCCCCGGTCTAGGTCCCCTGATGAAGTACTAAGACAGCCTCCACCACCGTCCCCATGTGGCCTTCCAGTTCCGGGAAGCGGTTTCTCTTCGATGCCCGTAGTCAACAGCGCTTGCTTGCCGAAGTCTAGTTCCTCCGGTTCAGAGTCAAGCTCCTCCCCGGCAGCGTCCGAAGTGGTGATCCCGGCATCTGCACCCCCAGCTCGACGGGAATCCAGGTCCTCTTCCCCTGCGTAACCCCCAGCTGGGCCGGTCTCTCCCTTTGGAGCGGAAGTGCAGGCCACCGTGTCAGTTCCGGACCGGTCGGCCGACTCTTCCGGCGCCGCCACGGCCACCGGGCGCGCTGCGGAAAGCGCCACAGGCAGCGTGACAACCAGCTGTCGCCGGGCCTTGTTGAACTGCGCCTTGCCGTGGCTGTCGTCCACGGGGTACGGAAGCAAGAGCCGCAGCCGGTAGTCGGGTTTCCTCGAGTCCAGACACAGCAGCTTTCCCGTCACCTCCAGCGCCGCCTGCTCGGCCGAGCGCAGCAGCGGCAGTTCGATGGTGACCACCAGCTCCCGGGGCACGGGGCTGGGGGCGGAGTCCCGGGAACAGCGGTAATCCTGCAGGTCCACGTGGTGGCGCTGCACCACACTGTAGCGAGGCTCGGTGGGGGCAGGCTGCGGGGCCGCCTCAGGAGCGGAGGCGGCCCGGGGCCCAGGGCCCGCAGCGTTCCCGGCGGCAGCCGGGCCCCGGTAGGGGTAGGGAAAATCGGGGACAGGGCTCTCGAACTCCGCCTCGGGTCGGGCCGGGACACCCCCGGGAAGAGGCGTGCGCAGCACGGCGGCCTCCGGGTTTCCCTTGTACTTGATCTTCAGGGTCTTGACATTTCTGTGGTCCAGCTTCACGCCGAACTGCTGCTCGACGGCCTCCAGGGCCGTGTCGTCCAGCATCTGGCGGAAGCGCTCGTGGCGCCGGGCCAGCGCGAGCGTGTCTGGGTGGAAGACCACGTCGTAAACGGTGTAGCGGGTGCCGTGGCCCCCTGCGTACTCGCGGCCGGGCGCCAGGCTGTACGGCAGGGACCACTGGCGGCCGGGCCCCGCGCTCGCGGAGCCGGGCCGGCTGCTGGGCGCGCCCACCAGCGCGTTGCCGCACACGTTCACGAAGCAGCGCCGCGCCCCGTCCAGGCTGGTGCGCAGCACGTGGCCGGGCTCTGGGTGCACGAACCGCACCTCCACTCCGCGCTCACGCTCCAGCGCAGTGATCTCCGCCTCATAACGCCGCCGGTTCTCGGGGTCCGTGAGCTCCTCGGCGTACTCGGAAAATATTCGCCGGAATTCCGGGTCCTGGAAGGCGGACGTGAGCCGCTGGACCTCCTCTCCGCTCAGGTCCAAGTCCTCCAGCAGCGAAGAGGCCGAGGCCTTGGCCATGCTGCCCCTCGGCGCCCACCTCTAGGCCACAGTCGAGCAGCACACCGAGGGAGTGGGACTCGCCTAGTAGTCTCTGGCCTGGGGCTGGTAAGATGGCCGGGCCGTAACCGCCAGAGAATTGTGCCTTGGGCAGTGCGTGCCTGTTGCCATGGCGACGCCGCCAACACCCGGAGGAGGGGCAGGAATTGGAGTGGGATGATGGAAATGCCAGAAATAAGCATCTTAGCTTCTTCAAACCTACCAACTACCCTACAGTCTGTGGGTTGTTGTTTCTTAATTCCTGTGGAATGGCACAGTTATTTTTACACTAGGGTAACTATCATAATAATTATAATTTCCAGCATCGTGGACGTCATCTCCTATGTAGTTCACAACACTTCAGGGTAGAATTGATCCTCATTTCACCGGCAAGAAGATGGGACCTGAGAAGTTACCTGACCAGGGTCATACAGCTAGTGTATTCACAAGCTGTGATTCATACCTATGTTTATCTGCTTTTTTGCACTTCACTAAACCAATATTTCAGTCTTCTGGATATTTTACCATACAGTTTGCCTTGTAATAACTCTCATTTGGGGCAAGAGATGTGGGGAGGCTATTATTAAGTAACTAATGATCAACAAACACTTAAGACTTTATTAATAAAAAGGCAAATATAAGATATCACATATCACCTATCAAAATGGCAAAAACTTTTTTTAAATATACAATTACTATATTTCTGTGGGGTGGTGGTAGAATATAGTAAAACCTTTCTAGAGAGTAGTTTGGTAGCTGTAGAAAAACCTTTTAAATATTTATACTGTATTTCTTTATATATGTTTTTGTTAATTTTTTAGAGAGAGAGAAACATCGATCTGCTGCGTCCTGCAGGTCCCGTTGGGTATGCAGCCTGAAACCCAGGCATATGCCCTGACTGGGAATCAAAACCCGGACCTCAGTCCATGGGAGGAGGCCGAATCCACTGAGCCACACCAGTTGGGCTCTTTATACTTTCTTGATCCAGCAATTCCAACTCAAAGAGCATGCTTAAGGCAACTTTATGATTCTAAAGGTCTGGGAAGAATGTAAGACTTCAATAATGGGACTGGTTGAGCAGATTTTGGTACAGCCATAGAATGGGATTCTTTGCAGCCATTCAAAGTGATGTTATAGAAGAATATTTATTGACTAGGATAGTTATTAATTAGTAGTTGTTAAATCCAGTGATTATTTCCTATTCTCATTTTGTTGAAACTCACCAACATTTAACACAATTGATGTTGTCATTATCTCAGTGCCAAGACACTTTCCAGGCTTCTCTCCTACCTTATCAGACACTTAACACTACACAGTCCGCTTTGCATGTGCTTACCGCTGTTCAGCTTCTAAGTAGAAATACCCATCTCTTCTCCATTTACACTCTTGCCTTCACAAATAAAATTACACTCATAAATATCAGACCTACATATCAGATTCTAAACTCCAGACTCCTTAATCCAGTTGCATCATTTAAGGTTTCCATTTGAATGATTTAATGCTTAAGCCCTTAAGGCTGGAAATGATTAAAGATAAAAACAAACTCCTGAGTCTCCCAAATCTGCCCTATCTTATGACTTCTTGGCAGCATTCAAAGCAGTTAACTGTACCCCTTCAAACATATGTTTCTCTTGGCTAGAACTCCATGCTCTCTCATTTTCCTCCTCTACTTGCTCCTCTTCTGCCAGTTCTCTAAATGTAGGAGTGACCAAAGACTTTCCATCAGCCTTTTATCTAATATTTCTTCCAAGATGATCATATTCTAGCCCACAGTTTTAAATGCCATCTATGATCAGATTCTTTCCCTCAACAGAATTGATTGCACACTTGTTGCACCTATTATATCGGTAGGTAAAGTACAGCACTGGAACAAAACAAAATCATTGTGCTCCAAGAATGTGAATCAGTTGTATGCTATTTGGGTGTCTGTTGGGTCAATCACTTTGGAAAATTATTGTTAAATATAATTTATATCTTATGACTAAGAAGTTCTGTTTCTAGCAAAAAACATAGACTAGATTTTATATATTCGTAACAGCACTATTGGTAGCAAACAGTGGAAACTACCCATATGCTCATCAATAATAGAATGAATAAATAAAATGCGTATATCTACAATGGACATGAATAAACTGTGGATGAACATCATTACATGTGTGAAAGAAATAACACGTAGCCCTGGCCGGTTTGGCTCAGCGGTTAGAGCGTCGGCCTGCGGTACAGAGAGACCCGGGTTCGGTTCCCACTAAGGGCATGTACCTCGGTTGCAGTTTGTCCCCGGCCTTGGTTGGTCGTGCGGGTGGCAGCCACTCAATGTGTCCCTTCACAACGATGTTTCTTTCTCTCTCTCTTCCTCTCTCTCCCTCCTGCTCTATCTGAACAACAAAAAAAAAAAAAATGGAAAAATGTCCTCAGGTGAGGATAAAAAAAAAAAAAAAAAGAAAGAAATAACACGTAAAATAAAACATATAATAGACAAAACTTGGCAAAATAAATCTGTTAAAAGTCAGGATAGTGATTGTCCTTTTGAGTGGGAGTGGGCTATTGTGATTGGTGGAGGAGCAGGAGTGAGCTTCTGGTGTGAGGGTAATGTTCCATTTCTTTTTCTTTTTTTTAATGCCTATAATGCATACGCCTGGGTGCAGGCGGGCTGAGCCAAGAAGGGTTCAACCTATTTCTTAATCTTGGTATTGGTAACAGGGTTTGCAGTTTGTAAAAATTTATCGAACTATATATACACTGACAACAGGGGACTTATTTATATATGTATCTCATACTTCAATTTTTCTTTTTTTTTTTTTTAATCCTCACCCGAGGACATTTTTCCATTTTTCACTCAGAGCAGGAAGGAGAGAGAGGAAGAGAGAGAAACATCGATGTGAAAGGGACACATCGAGTGGCCGCCACCCACACGACCCAACCAGGGCCGGGGACAAACTGCAGCCAAGGTACATGCCCTTAGCGGGAACCGAACACGGTCTCTGTGGACCGCAGACTGATGCTCTAACCGCTGAGCCAAACCGGCCAGGGCCCATACTTCAATTTTTCAATGTTCTTTTAAAAAACTTTGTCCTCATGGATCTCATGTGGGATGAGACCGGTAACTCCACATTTTATCTCCAGTCCTACCTGGCCACTGCGCTCTACACTCATGCCGCTGCCTTCTAGAAACCTCCACTTGGGTGTTTGGTAGGTATCTCAAAGTACAAATCCTGATTTCTCCTTCAAACCTGTTATTCCCCAGCCTCAGTAAATAGTACCATCCACCCAGCTACTCAAGCTTGAAACCTAAATGTAAGCCTCGATTCCTCTTTCCCCACCCTGCATGGCCATTCAGTTACAGAGTCCTATGGTCTCTTCTTACCCGAATATATCCACTTCTTTCCGTTTCTGGTCTGAGCCTCCCTCATCCCCATTGCACACTTATGCAATAGTTTCCGGACTGTCTCCTTTTCACCTCTTCTTTTTTACTGTCTCTTCTCCACAGAGTAGCCTTAGTCATCTTTAGTCCTCACCCAAGGATATTTTTCCATTGGTTTGCAAACAGAATGGGGGCGGGGAAGAGAGAGAGAAACATCCATGTGAGATTGGTCGCCTCCCGCACAACCCTAACCAGGGCCGAGGATTGAACCACAACCAAGGCACATGCCCTTCATCAGATTCAAACCGACAATCCGCAGGCCAACGCTCTATCTGCTGAGCCAAACCAGCCAGGGTGCCTTAGTCATCTTTAAAACCTAGTTTTAAAGATCTGCTGAATCCTTCTAGTAGACTCACATCCAAAATCCTTGTCTACAAGGCCCATCATGCTTGAATTCTAACCTCCATCCCACTGAATTTTCTCCTTATATCATTATACTTCAGTTTCAGTGGCAGAACACTCATTTTTCCTGTGTACAGGAGTCTCAAGAACTTAAATTTTATCACCTTAGTGATTTCCACCTTCAGCACCCGATCTGAAATTGCCCGCATCGAAGGTAGGCACCATGAAGGCAAGGACCTTGACTTTGTGGCTTATCACTGTATGTAGAATATACAGGAGTGGGCAAAAGTAGGTTTATAAAGAACTCTGTGCCAAAGTGTGCTTGAGTATAGCAAGTAGACTCAAGAATGTGTAAATAATGAAGGCCAGCAATTTAAGCACTTACAAGATTGTTCCTAAGTGCACTATGCCTGTCACACTTTTGAGTTAATAAAGGTATTGTAATAATCATAATCTGCATGTCTTTTTCCATATGAATTGTAAACCTTCTTTTACCTACCCCTGTACTAGGCACTCAGGTATTTGATGAATGAATATAGTAAAGAAAAAGACAAGTTTAGTATGTACAGTGTGAACCCTAAAATATTTTTATAGGAAAAAATTATGGAGAAAATTCTGATCTATACCAAAATATTAACAGATTATCTTTGACAGTGGAATTGCAGGTCCTTAGAACTTTTTTCTTGTATTTCTTATTAACTTGTTTAATAAAAAGTTTAAAAATACCCTATAATTTAGGGTTTAGATTTACATCTGAAAAGGCTTTGAGACACAAAGATGAGTTCCAAATCTTTTTTTTTTATATATAGCTTTATTTTTTTTATCCTCACCCAAGGGCATTTTTGCATTTATCATCAGATAGAACAGGGGGAGAGAGGGAGGGAGAGAAACATCAATGTAAGAGAGATACATCGACTGGTTGCCACCCACACAACCCCAACTGAGACTGGGGACAAACTGCAACAGAGGTACATGCCCTTAGTGGGAACCGAACCCGGATCTCTCTGGTCCGTGGGCTGATGCTCTAACTGCTGAGCCAAACCAGCCAGGGCTGAAGTCCAGATCTTTAAGCATGTGAGGGATATATTTTCTGTTATAACCCTGATGTCAGTGAACACACCCAATGATTAGTTTCACTTTGTTACTTTTCTAACTTTAAAATTCTGGACGTTTCATCTTAATGGCATTTCCAAACATGAACACATCACACTACACACAT